TATTCATTAAAGAATAGTCTTGGCACTCTTGAGTGCCAGCTTCTGACTCCACTGTGACACAGGCACATTTTTATGCTCCAGAGGAGGTTTTTTTCATCATGAGACACCCAACAAGAGTCAGGAGCAGCTCTTCTGATCAAAAGGAATCCGTGCCAGAGTCTGCAGGTTGTTCACCCTATCCCTTCATGCTGCTGTTCACTGAGAGGCTGCTCTGCTCTGCAGTTGCCTCTTGAGAAAGGCAGAGCAAATTCTGCACTGTGCAGTAATAGATTAATAACAAATGTCCTGTTTGTATCAGTGGAAAAGGAATTTAACTATTCCTGTGACACAGAAACCTCACACACAGCAGTTAGCAATGCTGAGATTTGTGAATACTTTACTTATTCCGTGAGTATGGGTGTACCTGGCCTTGTCCTGGTGCTGATCAGTGTTGTAGAATCATAGAATAGTTAGGGTTGGAAAGGACCTTAAGATCATCCAGTTCCAACCCCCCTGCCATGGGCAGGGACACCTCACACTAAACCATTTCACCCAAGGCCTTGTCCAACCTGGCCTTGAACACTGCCAGGGATGGAGCATTCACAACCTCCCTGGGCAACCCATTCCAGTGCCTCACCACCCTAACAGGAAAGAATTTCCTTCTTGTATCCAATCTAAACTTCCCCTCTTTACATTTTAACCCGTTACCCCTTATCCTGTCACTACAGTCCCTAATGAAGAGTCCCTTCCCAGCATCCCTATAGGCCCCCTTCAGATACTGGAAGGCTGCTATGAGGTCTCCATGCAGCCTTCTCTTCTCCAGGCTGAACAGCCCCAACTTTCTCAGCCTGTCTTCATACAGGAGGTGCTCCAGTCCCCTGATCATCCTCGTGGCCTCCTCTGGACTTGTTCCAACAGTTCCATGTCCTTTTTATGTTGAGGACACCAGAACTGCACACAATGCTCCAGGTGAGGTCTCACAAGAGCACAGTAGAGGGTCAGGATCACCTCCTTCGACCTGCTGGTCACGTTCCTTTTGATGCAGCCCAGAATACAGTTGGCTTTCTGGGCTGCAGGCGCACACTGCCAGCTCATGTTCATTTCCTCATCAACCAGAACCCGCAAGTCCTTCTCCACAGGGCTGCTTTGAATCTCTTCTTTGCCCAACCTGTAGCTGTGCCTGGGATTGCTTCGATAGAAGCAATGGTATTGATTTTAATAATGCTTTGCTTGTATTTAACAGATCAATTAAAGTTAAAAAAATAACCAGTATGTCATGAGCAGCCTGAAAACCTTCTCAATCTTAAGCTCATTTTGTCTACAGATCTTGTAGAGACTATTAATTTAAACACAGGGTGAAGGTAGGATTTCAGCTGCAGTGCTGCATCATCTGTATCTGCTCCCTGGCAGTCCTGGCATCTCCAAACACACTTAGTGACTTCAGCCCTCTCCCTATGTAGACACTGCAATAAATAACTAACCACTTAATTAGAGTTTAAGTATTAAATTGATCTGTTCTGAAAGCTACAAGTGTAGGAGGTGAGTTTTGTGAAGACAGGAACAGCATTTGCTGAATGTGCTTTGGATAGCTTCAGCCAAACCATGAGTGAGTGTGCTGTGGGTTGAGAGATTGAAAAATGCATCTGTTTTCCATGGGGCTTGGCTATTTTTCCACTGGCTTCCACACTAATTTGGAGCAAGACCACAAACGTTTTGACCTTTTCCATTAAGGAAAGCAGCCGTGTGTCTCCAAGGCAGTGGCAACCATAAAGTACAAAGTTGTGGCTTCCTTTTAGAGAACTGAAGAGCAGCAACTGAAGAGCAGCAACTGAAGGGCAGCTCAGAGCCCCAGAAAAGGCAGGAATCCTGGAGCACCGTCCTTACAGCTTGCTGACTTCCAGTGTCTTGGATGTGTGAAGGAAAAAGCCCTGCTGCAGCAGCCCTGATGAGCGTGAGTCTCGTGTTGTGAGCTCCTGGCTGACCATCTACAGCTGCTGAACAGAAGCCATAAGTCTTGTAAAACCAAATGTCCATTGAAATCTTTTCAATACAGGAGAAAAAAAAAAAAGGCAGCTTGGGATGCAACATTCCCAAAGCTCCCCAACTCCTGGCTTCTCCCTGGGTTGGCAGAGGCAATGCAAAGAAAGCAGGAGCCAATAAGGCTCCTCCCCAGGCAGCTGAAATAAAGCTGACTAATTGGTAGGAAAAATCAGATTCTGTGTAACTCGGTCAGCATCTGACCATCAATTTTCTTTGATGTAAAACTACTCCTTGAGGGAATTGAGTTGCTCCTGTCACTTGTGTCATGATAACCACATGTAACAAGTAAGTAACCATCAGCTTTATGTAACGTTTGGGCATAAAACTGGCATGTCCTTCACTAGAGAAGAAATAAATGATTATCCACACTTGGTGAAACTGAGGCATCAAGAGGTACAGTCCCTAACCAGCGTTGTTCACAAACTCACTGCTCCAGCTGCGTCTGGCTGTCAGCTCTCCTGACTCCTGCTCTTTCACTGCACACAGGCAGCCAGTGGCAAAAGACCATGGACTTGTCTTTCCCACCTTTTGAATATGCAATAGCAATGCTCAAATATGGCTTCAAATGTTCTGAACTTTTTACTGAAATGAAGGAATGCTCCTCCAGGTGAGGGAAGAGGCAGACCCTTTGTCTGGAAAAAAACTGGAATTGTTTAAAGAAAATAGCCCTCCTCATTGATTCAAATGGAGTAACTGAAATGCTGTTAATAGCTGTTGGTGTGGTGATGAGAAGCCCTACTTAGTGAGTCTAAAGGATTAAAGCCCTACTTAGTGAGTCTAAAAGATTAAAGATTTGAACTCCTCAAGACCCCCTCCAAAACCTCCTCCTCAACCCATCGCCTGCCCGGCTGACTTTAAACTGCCAACACCGCCAAAAAGGGGATGTTGCATCTCTTACAAACAGCCTTTTGTTTGTTGCTCTGACACCTGCGAAAAGCAAAATTGTTATTTTCTTGCTGCTTGTTGCTAGTTTGATGCCCGCTCTGGGGCCCTACATCAGAGACACTGTTCAAAACAGGTTGCAGGGGTCCGTTTCTGTGCTGTCTGCCGATGGTGCTGCCTGAAGGAAAACCATGGAAACGGAGTTTGACAGGCTCGCGGGGACCCGCGGCTGCCAGAGCCGCTGCCTTTGAGCGCCTGATGAAGACATCACAGAGCAAACACAACATTAAAACACTGCCGGCTGCTCTGCATCACTTAGAATGCAAATCTCTTTGTTCTGCTCGGCCCTCACGTTTGGTAGCCAAGGAATCCGTGCTGTCATCTAACATGGATTTGACGACCTCGTTTCCCTCATTGTATCACCTTTCTCTCTTCTAAAACCCCCTTCCCACCCCTCCCCAGGAAAAAACCCTCACCATTTCTTGCAGGAGGGGGGCTTGTGTGGGGCTGAACGGCTTTTCGCCATTTCTGGGATTTCTAGGCACAAACTCGGTGCCCGTATTGCAGAGCGGAGTGGGCTGCATTGCTTCGTTGCTCCCTGTGTGTTATTTGACTTGAATTCATTTACATGGCAACTCGCAGGGGTAAATTTTATGTCATCTTTATGTCACAGATTAAAAGGCAAAAGTAATCCTTTATTTGAGCAGCATGTACCTTCTGACCTTCAAACCATACAGCTGAAAACAGAGGGGAAAAAAACAGGCCTTCTCACACTTGTAATTCCAGTTTTATCATTTCTTAGGCTAAATTTGAACTATGTAGTTATTAATTCAACCCCCCCTATTGTAAGTAGGCTGTAGTTTAGTGTTACTTCCTGACTGCCTTAGCCAGGGTCAACACTTCAAAGTGACCCATGCCCTGGTGCTCAGACGTGCCATTTCAGTAGCTCCTGACAAGAAGAGGGCATCCAGGAAGGGTTTTGTGCTGGTTGGAGAAACCCTGATCCTAAAAATACAGCTGAAGACCTTATCAGAGTAGCTTCTTGGGAAGCTCTGGGAAGCTTGGGCTCAAGGGCCCCAGAAAGTGGCCTGTGACCTGTCCTTGTCCAGACTTGGCAGTAGATGAGCCATTTCATGGAAAAATGAAACTGCTGCCTCGTGCCTCATGTTTTCTTTATAAAGCTGGTGTCCATAGGGAATGATCTGTAGAAAGGCCACATTTTTGCCACCCTCATTTTGTGTGGATCAGTTCTACAACTACAGATATGGGATAGACCTGAGGTTAAAGACATTTCTAAGTCATGGCTAAGTCCTTTTCCTTTCCTTGCCCCTGCCACAGTGGATGCTGGTCTGTGTCATCTGTGAATCCAGCAAAATTAGGCATCTTCATACAAAACCAGAAAAGAAGTCTGTTTGGACAAGGTTTTCCAGTGAGCAGCTCTTTCCTGCTTCCAGTACTGGTCCAAAGCTGCTTTGAGTCTCTTTTCCAGCTACAGCCTAGGAAAAGACACACTTTACAGCATAGATTAACTGTCTCTCCAGGAACTATTATTTGTGGGTGAAATCAGGTTAACTATACATCTCCATGCAAGTGCTGAGGCCAAGTCACACAGTCCCCAAGGAGATCCAGGTGCTCTCACTTCTCTCTGCTCCCCTAAGCTCCTTTGGGTTATGCAAGTCGTTCTGTCTCCTTTTACACTCTTTCCCACCCTTTTTCAGGCTGACTCCTGGAAAGACCTTCAGTTTTCTCACAGACTCACTGACTCTGCTTTTCCTGACTCAAATCCCTCTGCAAGACCTTGCAGAAATGACATTTTAAAATCATCATTTTGAGGCCACATTTTTCCCCTGCCCATTGATGTCCTCTCCGTTTGAATTGCAGGGTTTAGTTTTGACTGTGAGGCAAAGTTGGTAGGTTCTCGACTAACCCAAAGTCAGGTCAGAAAAGAAGAATGGAAACCAGAAAGGGAACCCAGAATGTCAAAGCAGAAGACAATCAAATTTCTGTGTCAAAAAGAGGGCAAAACTGAGGATGTGGGACTTCCTGCATGAAAAAATCTTGTAGGCAGTTACTTTTTCCCCTCTTCCTTTCTCTCACAGTGGGACAAATTCCACTTTTTTTCCAGTTCATCTGTAAAACATGAGGAGCCAGCTGAGCATAGTGTTGGTTCAGAATGAGAGCAGCTGACAAGGGAAAGGTAAAAGGAACTTGTAACTGCTGCAGTTCTAAGAAATTATTTCAGTGTGACAAAAAAATCTAACAACTTCCAAAGGATGCAGGAAGGCACTAGGACATCATCCAACATTCCCTAACATAGCAGCCTCCAAGGTATAATTAATGCATTTAAACACAGGCCACCAACTCCTGTTGTCTCATGTTTTCTAGAGGTGCCTGATCCTGTTGTCCTCTCATGCTTGGTTACAAAGGGCTGCAAACAAGGAGGAGGCAGCTCTGAGAGTGGGAGCAGAGTTAATGGTCAGAACTTGGGTGCAGGTGGAAAAGCAGGACATGAAAGAGAAGCTTGGATAGAAAAAGTCCTGGACCTACTGCTTTAGCTTACACATAAGATATTGGGGTATTTTGGGGGGTGAATTCTAACTCGCATGCTCTTTTATATATGTTGCAGACCGCTGTGTGTTACTTTGATTCAGGGACCATGATACCCAAAGCCTGCTCTTCATACACAAGGTACCTTCCAAATGTTCCTTCATTCTCAGAGACTTAGAAAATTAATCTTCAAGGCAAACTGTAAAAGACCAGATCATGAGCAGCGTGTGGAGCTTCCCATGGAGCACCCTGCTCCTCTCTGGCTACACCTCCTCCTCCAACCCTAGCTGTTTCTCCATCTCCTTAACACAGAGAGGTAGAATGGCACAAAGCATTTCCCAGGGAACTGTCCCCACTAATAGTGACAACAGTGCTGAAGTGGAGCCTGAATCCCATCAGCGGGAAAGCCCCCTCACATCCAGACAGCAGCACTGATCAGAGAGTCTGGGACTCCCAGGATGTTACAGTGTGCTATTAGAGAGGGATATTCAGAAACAGTCTAATTAGTTGCATTTTCTTTTCTAACCTCAGTCAAAAACCAGTCAGATTCTGCTTTAGATTTTGACATCCTATTAAATGCGGAACACAGGCCAATAGCTTTCATTTTCCCCTGTGATGCTACAGACTCCTGTTTTTATAGTTTGACAGAGAGACATAATTAGGCCTCAGAAAGGACAAGTCTAGACTATTAGTTCCCCACAGAGGCTCCCTGGAAAGTCAGAACCCACAATTATTCTCCACTTTCCCACTGAGACAAATTTGTGGGTATCTATCTGCTCTCCTGCCTCTGATACCCTGCTCATAACCTTTAAGCCTGAGACTTTACACTCTGTTCTCTTAAAGGGCACAACAACAGACAGGTGTTGGACTTTCCAAAGGGACAAGAGCAAGGTAAGGACAATATATAAGGACTCACACTATAGGTTGAGTGCTTTTCAGTGCTGTACCCAGAGCAGCATTGTATTGCCGTATTTCTGCCCCCTTCACTGCTGCCCAGCAGAATTGGGCTTTAGCACAAAAGTCATCACCAGAGCAAGGCATTTACTCACACTCGTTTCCTGGGGTCTTTGCCTATTCTCCTCCTCTGCTTCCGAGTTACCTACAGCTTCACATTTTGTTCCTCAACAACCAGGAAGCAGATTCAGTCTCTGGATACTACAAGTCCCTCCCTCCTTAGTCTTTCTTTGGCAAATTGTACTACCAGCTCCCTCTCGCTTTTGGTTTCCAAGTGCTTGGATGGTTTCTGTACCTCTCCTGTTCAGCTGCAACCCTGGGCACGCCTGATTAAAATGAGATCTCATCCTCAATATGAGCACGGAGCTCTGGGCCTTTGTTTTTCCAACAGCATCATATTTCAGATGCGTCTTCAGTTCATAATCCCCAGTAATCCTCAGATCCTAGTGTGCCTAGCCAGCAGTCCCTAATTCTGTGTAAACCACTTTACAGCTGTCTTCATTATATCTCATGTTACTGTTTTCAAGCCATTTCCCCAATCTATCCGCATTGTACTGAGTTTTAATCCTATCTTCCAAAGTGTTCTTCAACACATTGCCTGGGAATTCAACTCACAAGGAGTATCAGCTCCTGCTCCCTCTTTCCACCTGCTTCCCACCAGTGACCTGGGTGCACAGTCTGTTCCTGTGCCAGGGATGTGCAGTGCAGGAGATGCTGATGGTGCCTTTTTTTCCTTGCAGCATGTTCCTTGCCTGTGTGAGATGGCAAACCTTCTCAAGACTATTTTGCCACATGGAAAGCCCTGGATACTTGATACCACAGAAATGAGTCAAAATTCTGGGCAGAGCTTATTTGCTTCTCAATAAGTGCAATTAAATGTTTTCCATTTCTAATAAGCAAGGATTAGTCTTCACTTTGGGTTACCACCCCCCTACTAGGTTGCAAGAGGAACCAAATCACCCTATCAGCCAGTGGTGTGCAGCTGCTAAATATCCCCATCACTGACACTGGCACCTTTTCCAAGCCAAAAGGGCATCGACCATGGAGAGCTGTGCAGATGCTGACTGCAGCACAGCACCCTGTAAGCACTCAATTAGCCTGGCCACTTGCGCTCAACGTCTCAAGCACTCAGTGGAAGTAAAATGCTTACACAATCCCTCTGCCTACAAGGCCTTGAAATCTTTAGGGGGCCTGGCTTTGCTGCCTGGTTTTCCACTGACAGGCTGATGGAGACATCACAAATCTCTCCAAATCACTAGGCTTCTTTCAACATCAAAGGTGTCAATGTTCACTCTGCCTCGGAGCCTGGGGCAATATAAATCACGCTTGAATATGTGAACTGAGTGTCTGAGGTTAAACTCTCTGTATATACAAATATTTCTCCTTGGGTAACTGATATTATTGTACTGTTTCTTCATCAACATTGAATATTTTCTATAAATCGTAATATTCCAAAGGAAAACAAAGCCTTACAGGTGAAAAAAGGGGGAAAAAGGGATGAACTAGGGTGTTGTGGGAAGAGAATAACTCATTTGAAATATACATTGCCATTATTTTGGAAGAAAAATCAGTGAACTGATGAGGGTTTTTGTTGCACTCTTTCAACATCCATCGTTAGGTTAATGTTGTCTTGGACTGAATTGAGTCTCCAGCCACAGGGATGTGAAGCCCTTTCCCTGGACCCTCTTTGGTGTGTCTCTTCCCAAAAGCTCACGCCTGCCCCCCCCACCACCACACACACTGCTCCTCCCTGCAGAGCTTCGGCAGTGGTTGGCACGTGGTGCACCAGATGCCATATCCTGGCTCAAATCATGGGCTGGAGAAGGCACAACGCCTTGGTGGTGGCTGCTGGGAGAGCCTGATTCACCCTGACTGGCACAGTTGTGGCACCTGCGTGGGGGGTCTCCACTACCTCCAAACAGGAGACAGGACAGCTGGGGTTGTCAGTAAATTACACTGCACAAAGACAGCTCTCGTGCCTGCCCAGCCTTCTGCAGGCAGGGCCCTGGCAGGAGCTCCCGTGTCAGCGCTACATCAGCACATTTGCACAGCGCCTGCACCGCTGCCAACTGGCCCTGCCCTCTCCGAGCAGCAGCTGAAAGCACCTGATGCTGCTGTGGAGAGAATTTGGTCCAGCACCTTGCAGGGTATTCAACAGATATCCTGTGGGAGAGAGCGCCAAGTCCCCAGGGGTTTTGCTGTTCCCGGGAAAGAAATGACTATTAAATTCAGGCTGTTGGCCACCCAATAGGCTTTCTCAGATGCAAGCCTCCCTGCACTCACAACAGCCAGTTCCATCCCCCTGGTTCAGCAGGGCAGGGAGTGCAGCAGACGGCAGCTTAGCAGCCTCTGCATCCTCGTACAAAGCACACAGCTCACTGCCCCACCGCGACTGCTGCTGCACACATCAGAGAGGGATTTTTCCCTTGGGCAGCCACCCAGCCAGCCTCCAAGGCTTTACACCGAGCAGGAGCAGGAGCTGGGAAACTACCTGGTCTTACATGGTGTGTGTTTAATGAAATTTTTCTTTATGACCTCTGCAGTAAATTGCCTGTGCTCAGCATTGTGTTGGAGTAAGTAACACCCGGCAGAAATTGTCGCGAGGCAGTAATTGCGGAGTCGCTGTCGAAGATCTCTGTGCCATCAGGCAGGGATTTTCATTTCATACATTAGTCACAATTTGCATATAATCACAGGCGTAGTTGCATACAATCAGTACAGCCCTTTGAATGTGAAGAAGGGAATAGGCGAGAAAGCTGCCCAGCACTGGGGAAATGCATGCAGTTGGTGTGGGTTGTGTGGCTCTCCCTATCACCATTCCAGCCACCCGGGGCTGCACTGCTACTTGAGTCACACACCCCTAACACAAACTCGGGGATTAAGGCAGGAAAAACATGCTTGCCTGACCATTTTTGGAAGGTTTTAGTGAGCATCCGGTGGATTATACACCAGGTTTTCCATTACTGCCATTGCCCACGCTGCAGTGATGACAGACCATCCTAACACAAAGGATCTTTTCTTTCTAGAAAACTTCATTACAAATATGGGCTCCCCAGAGGGATGGGGGAGTGTCTCTCCTTTGCTCAGTGATGCCTATGCACATGCACCTACAGCATTCCAGATACCTCAGTAACAGTCAATTTTTTATTCACACTGCACTGGCATACTTCCTTCTCACTCCCAAATGTCCCTCAAGACCATGTTGGTATTCTGATTGCTGTCAAATGCACCAAGAAGTTTCCTTACCTTCAGACGTCTCAGCTTTTGGATGCTCTATAATGAGTTGGCTTTGGTTCCTGATTCATCCCATGGCTCCTCATTGTTGCAGCCGTCACAGCATGAGTGAGGATGTCAGCCTGTGCTGTGTGATCTTCACCCTGGCAGGAGAGACAGCCACATCATGGACAGCCACACAACCGAAAAGGTCAATCTCTTCTGTTGGTGTTGCAAAACCAGCCTGTGCTTTGGCGGGCTGGGGGCAGGCTGGTGTCATTGGACAGAAAGGAGCTTGAAAAGTCAGAACTGATGGACAGAAAATTCAGAAATATATTTGGTCCAGGAGACATTCATCACCTCAATCCTTCAAAGCCAGCAACCACAGCCATAGAAGAACTGCTCTGGCACACATGTTCTTAATCCTTCTGTGGCAAAACAGTGTTAGAGTCAACATTTCAGGCTGTAACTAGTGGGGGAACTGTACCTGACCAACAGCCAGAGTATTTACACCTTTCTGGTCTCTGCTCTTAGAGGTTCCTAGTGAGCCCATCACTCTGGTACCTCCACACCTCAGTCCTGTCTTCAGCTTTTCACACAGCAAAAGACAGTGGCTTTCCCTGAGATTTTAAGCAGCCTTAAAGGACCACAATGGCATTTTTCACTCATTTATATCCACTGTTGTGAAATCATGATGTGAAAATCTTCGCGTTTCAAATAGTGTTTGACTCTTCCTGGGTTTTCACACAGGTAGGGAATGATTACCTTGCACCAGTTGTACCTTGTCCATTGACTCGCTGGGTCCATCTCATGTCTAGCTTAAAATCTGCATAATGAAAGCCATTTCCTTGCAATCCGTTCTCCTGTTCAAAGCTGCTCATGTGCCAGGTTGGTGTTTTTTAATCACATAAAATGGTATATATTAATGAGCTCTGAAGTTACATATAGAGCTAAAGCATAAAACCACTAATATGCCCCGTAGCATTCAGTGCTTTGAACACGGAACAGCATCTGTGTGAGAGTGTGATTGCACGCAGCTATGGAAACCAGTGCCAAAAAACGAGGAAATGCTGAACAAGTGGTGCAAGATTGGAAAAAACCTGGGAACAAAGATATTCAATTTGCATTAAAGGCCTGGTTCGCCAGCAGCCTGAAGTGTGCAACTTTCTGCTTTCAAATGATTATTTTCTGGATCTGCTGGCAATGTGTAGATTGTCTTTATCCTGAAAGAAAATTTCCTTCTCCCTCCAGCCCCCAACAGCAATAAAGGGTGAGCTGGTTCCCAGGTCAGATGTGACTATTCCAAACAGGACAACTTTTGCAGCATGGAAAAGTGCAAGGCCTTTTCCTCATCTTTGCCTTCATCCTGAGCAATTCCCTACTCATTTCCCGATGGTGCCAATTAAAAGGAAGAACTCCTGCCCTAATAGTTGTTAACAAAACAGGCACTGTCTGAGACTTTAATGAGTAAAACCATACTCAGTCACATAATATGCTCAGGAGAAGCCCAAATGAAAAGAATCACTGCAGTTCACAAACACTTGGGTTGCTGCGTCTTCAAATTATGAATTGCCAGGGTTGGAGATGTGATTTGTGATGTGAGGGTTGCCTTCGACTGCCAGGTTCAGTGGGATGCTTTTGAGGCTTAAGGATAAGCACTTGGAGAAACCATTGCAATCAGTGGCTGGGCAGTAAAGCAGGGTAATATGTAATTTATATGAGAAGGTATGTTTCTAATCTGTTATTGAGTTAATTGTATTAATCAGTTGGTGGTAACTAGGATAGCATCCATTCTTTTAAAATATATCAGGTAGTGCTGGTTGGAAGAGCTCGCCATCGAGACGTAACCAAAATCACCAGTTAGAAATGGAAGGTACATGCGCTCAGGGTACAAACCAGATTCTCATGGTTTATGACATGGGGAGGCAATGAACTGTTTTTACAGATTACCTGAGATGTAATGGATGAATCTGTCACTTGCAGACCTCACCTCAAGGGTGAGCACCTGCCTAAAGAGCATTCTCTACTGCACCCGTATGCAACTTCTGACGGGGGGAATACTGTGATATTTTTATATCTGAAAATGCTCAGGTTTTTGCCATGATCCTATTTGAAGCCTGAGCACACACCAGCTGGTAGGATTCTACATCAAAACCCATACCGTGCCCATCAGAGCATAAGCCTGTAAAGAAACAAAGGAAGAAATAATACAAACATTTCAGGCTATTCTTCTATGCTAATGTATGATATTTGCCTCTTCCATGAACCACCAGCACGGAGCAGAGCAGGTTTCACATGTTTACGTCACATGAGATACTCGTCTTTGCAGGAAACTTTATAGTGGGCTGGCCAAGAGGTGGCACTAAAGAAACACTGCGCTCTGGTAATTAAGAGAGGGGTGGGCTTCCCCCCACCTCCCCACCCCCGATCTGCACAAATGCTGCTGCTCTGAGTACATGACAATAAACAAACCCCAGTTCAGGTTTCTCGGCACACTCTGTTCTGTTTGGGCATATGCTGCAACACACTTGGTCTTTAGGAAAGAACTGGTGGTTCCATTGCAAGGGGAGCTTTAACCCTGACGTGCAAACCTCTGAGGTTGCCTCCCAGAGCTCAGAAGCACTCTCTTGTGTCTGTTTCTCTTGTACTGCTGACTGAGAAGCCTGTCAACATCTAGGTTCAGATGCTCACTTGGGCACTTCTGGTCAGTGCAAATGAGAAACAGTCGCAGTGATCACTTCTACCATGAGCTGATAAATTCCCTCGTTTTGATTTTGCATCAAAATTTAAGATGACCAAAGCAGTTTGTAATTCAGCATCCAGTGCTACAGCATCTCTAACAGCTCAGAAGAAGAGACGGATGCACATGGTCAGGAGTGCAAAGATTTTACAGGACCCCATCTGCCAGCTTCATGCAGTATATGTGTAGGTACAACTTCACAGTGGGACAGGGCCAGAGAGGTGGGGGTGCCCTCCATGGTACTGTGTCCTGTCAGAGAAATGGAAACAACAAACAGACCTTAAGAGAATCATACTGAAGGACATGGGAGATAAGAGAAGTGACGTGCACAGACCAAAGGTCCATCCGGCCCAGTGCTTTCAGATGCCCAACAGCAAGTACAGGAAAAGAGCAGGTATCATAGGAGAGCATTTTATAGCACATTCTCCCAGAGGGTTCCTGAACAGGGATGCAAGCAGATCATTAAGTGTAACACCCACCAACTTCCAGCTGACATCTCTTCCTTAAACCTTCTGTTCTCCCCACCCTGAAACCACCAAGCTTACAATGTGGCTTGCAAAGCAAAGCAGACGTGCTCCCAGACTGTCTTTCAGAGAATAAACCTCTACTATGGCATGAGAAGACCCAGGGTAAACTCAGAATTCCCTCTGAGTTACATGTAGCTCCTCATACAGCCCTCATTGCCAGGGAGTTTTCTGTTAAACTCATAAAGGTTGTAGCAGTTCTGAAAGCAAGGTGACTCCCTTCTGCCTCCCAAACTCCAGGAACTGGGTATTTCTCAGGATCCCCTATAATCTGTGCAGCCTCACAGGCTCTTTGCTGCTGTTCTGTTTACTTTATTATTTATCACCAAGGTGAGACAAGGAACATGAGAAAGATATAGCAGATCACAAAGCAGAAAAGGAGAAGCCATTCATGGCTGGCTGAACACAGGGCTGGGATTTCCTACAGAAAGTCTAGGAAGGTAGATGGGAAAGATCCTTTGGTTTAGAGGAACCCCTGGTGTTTTGTCCAGACACAAGGAGTCAGTTTAGAAAGCAGATTAATACCGTACACAGGGATTTCTGAGCCAGCAAGCTGAGCCGTGCTTCATGCTGCAATCAGAAAAATTAAAGGCAGCAAAAGGTTACATCATCCAGGTCTTAATCCAGAGATACATGGACTAAAAAACTGTGGCACATGGTTAAATGCTTTGCTGGGTCAGAGACCTAATTTGCTCCCTGTCACTGGGGCTGTCCTCTATCATGGACATTCTTTGGGCTAATTAAGACTCTGCTCCTAGCCACTGCACGAGTAGAACCCAGAGCATGAATCCTTTGGCACTTCTAAGTGCTGTCAGCGCTTTGCAGATAACAACAAATAATAATGATAACAACCTTTGTGTTTGAGGTTTGTGCTCAGGGTGGTTTCAGGGGTGATCAGATGTGGCAGAGAGATTGCCAAGCCAATCAGGACAGCCCCAAACAGTGCGAAAGATGCCCCAGATACAAATCTGGATAAGGAGTTATTTTTGTGCACTTTTTTACCTCCCCCCCCGCCTCCAACTTCGAAGTGTTCTTGTGGATCATCCCTCTCCTGTTCTTGCACTTTAGATGCTAAACTGTGTCTTTGCTGGGTCTGATTTTATGCTTGCAAAGTACATTTGCTATTTATGACTGATCTGCATGCACAGTTAACTTGCATGCACCTACATGGTGGCTCATGGCCATTAAGGTGCTCTCTTGCTCCTGGATTCACCTTCTCAATGCAGCTCACTTGCAAACTTACAAGGAAGGGACCATCCATCCTGCAGTGCTCCATGTGCAGTGCATGATCCCACTTCCCTCAGGAGCATGCAGAAACACCACTGCCACATAAATAACATTAATTATGCCACAGTGCTCACTGCATGTGCAAATCTGACACATCGTTGGGCATACATTTTGTGCATGAAATTCCACAATTGCTTTTCCAGTAACATGCTCTGCTTTGTTTTATGAGATCCAGATTGATTTTTGAACCCAGTTGAAACATCTCCTATTCCATCACATAGTAAAGAAGCTTCATTTACCTAAGTTACTACAAACATGTATTAAAGATCAGTAACATCTGGTTATTAACAATTAAAGTTTATTTGCTTGTCTGCCTTCCCTTTAGTGCTTTTAAGCTCTTTTAAGCCTGCCAGGACGGTACCTCGCTGGCAGGCTATGGCTGTGAACACTAGATGGCACTTTGCAGCAAGAAAGGTTAAGAGCTTATGCAACTAAATTAAGACCTCATTTATTGCCCTTATTCACAGGGCAAGACTTCTTGCTCACCATGTCCTCGCCACCTCGTTGGTGCTAATTTAGTGTTTAGTCCACAGAGAAAATTCTGATCAGCTCCCAGACAAATTCTCGTCTTCACCAAGAGATAAATCTCTGCTGATGTGATTATTCCATGATG